AAAAACGATAAAGACATCCCTTTTGCATTAATTTACCTTATTGATAATAATAATTTAGGCACCAGTTTTAAACCTCGTCGTGCTTATCTTGCTGCCACAACTTTTGATAACGATCAAAAAGTAAATGATAAGAAATCAAAACGATGCCTACCAAATAATTTATTAGAAACACTTGAAACAATTGACCTAACAAAAAATACTAATGAAAATTACGATACATATGTAGAAATAAGACGAAATATGACAATTCATTCGTTTTTGAAATGTAATTCTTGGCCAATTGATCTTGTAATAAGAGAAGATAAGGATGTAAAGGTTGTCTTAAATGATGAGTCACAGGCGATACTATTTCCTGTTAAAATTCAGTATGGTAAAAGAAAATTTGTAACCGCCATATTTATTTGTGGCATTAATCCATCTCGTCCGCTGGATAGTGAATACATGGAATTTTTACAAGTACGTTTGCATAATTCATCTGTACTTATCAGTAAACATTTACCAAATTTTTGATTAAAATGTTTAGTTGGTTGTGAGTCAAATTGGTTCAATCTTGACACTTGGTAAATCAAGAGAAGAAGAAAAAAAGCGGGTAGAAATGCTGGCTAATTTGAATCGTCAAAAAGTCATGTTTTTCCAAAATATAAGTCACGAATTACGAAGTACAGTATTAATTATTATAATATACTTATTATATCATTTTTCTTTAGTAAAAACTATTGCTAATTACTAATCCAATATTTTCAGCTCCATTAACCTTAATGCTTTCTCCACTCGACGAAACAATTAATTTATGCACACGGGAAACAACTATACATTCTCATCTTCAAATTGTTCAGCGTAACACTCATAGATTGCTCAAACTTGTTAATAATTTACTTCAAGTATATATATATCACTATCTTAAATGTTTAAATCGCAAACTTCTCTTGACTAAACGCGACTTAATAATTTTTCTAGGTTTCAAACATTGAAGCCGGTCAATTAAAAGTGCAATTTCGTGAAACTAACATAATAAAACTTACCCGAGAATTGGCAGAGAACTTTAGTAACATAGCTAAGAAGCTAAATTTAAGTTATATCATTGATGTTCCAAATCAGAACGATTTTGATCAAGCTTTAAAAGATAAAGTTTATTTGGATCGTGACTTATATGAAACAATTATTTATAATCTTTGTAAGTATATAAAGCTTACGTTCTATTTTAAAAATTAATGATTATTTATTATACTAAAATGTTGTCCCTTTTAAAGGTTCAAATGCATTTAAACATACTTGGAATGGATGTATCAAAGTTCGTTTATATATTGATCATGAAAGTGAAAAAGATGTAATCCTTGAAATATCAGATACGGGTTAATAGTATTTTTATCGTTGTTATTTTATTTATGTATAACGATAATGTTTCAACAATATAATTAAAGTTTTATTTTATAAATTAGGTGTTGGTATAGCAGATTCTGATATTAAAAATTTATTTCAACGCTTTTATCGTGTGGAATCTCAACTATCTCGTAGTTATGAAGGGACTGGAATTGGTCTCTCTCTTGTAAAGGAGCTTATTACATGTCACGGTGGAGATATTACTGTATTCTCAAAAATTGGTCAAGGAACAACTTTCAAGTGTCGGTTTTTAACAGGATTTGAACACTTACCAATTAATCAAGTTTACTTTGGAAAAGATGATGATTATACATTAAATAACGATCAACAATTATGTTTAAATCAATTATATTTAGAAGAAAATTTGCAAAAGACTCAGAATGATGAATTTACATCTAAAGAATCTATGGGTATTAATATGGATATTGATGAAGTATTTTTGGATGGGAGAGTATCCCCCAAAACAACAAAGAATAAGGTTTTGGTTGTTGACGATAACATTGATATGAGGTGAGAATTTTTTATTTGATTAACTTTAATAGACTTTTTACTTTGCAAATGCTTTTACAATCAGCAACTTTTATAATAATTCATTATTTATAGAAATCACTTAGAAGGATTGCTAAGAAAAGAATTCGATGTATATAGCGCTTGTGATGGTCGTGATGCTTTGCTGTTTTTATTAAGTTCATCTAACCTGCCTGATTTAATTCTTAGTGGTAAGCAATTATATTTTTAAGTTTACGCTTAAATAATTTTTAAATAATTATATTATAATTACATTATAATTTTTGTTAAATTTAATAGATGTTATGATGCCTAATCTGAACGGATATGAACTATTAAATAGATTAAGATCTAATGAAAAAACAAGATTAATTCCAGTGATTTTATTAACTGCTAAAGCTGGAGAAAGTTCCAGTATCAAAGGTAATACAATATTATGTCGATTACTGTATTTTACTTTTCACCATTTTTTTTTTCATTTGAAATTAATTATATATTATTGGTTTCTACTACTTAGGGTTTAACGATGGTGCAAATGACTATATAGTAAAACCATTTAGTTCTCAGAAATTAATTGCTCGTATACATACAAATATTAAACTTTCACAATTTCGTTACGAAATTATATCTCAACAATGTAAACAAGAAGAAGTAAAACAATTTTTAATTTCAATTTCGAATAATATTCTTTCCGAATTAAATTTGAAGGATTCACTTTCAAAAGTTCTTAAGGAAATTCATCAAATAATACCGTGTAATAGATTATTTATTGTTTTACATAAACTATCAGGTGTTAAGACCCGTACAATAGTTGCCTTATCTGAAGATTCAGAATCAAATGGGTATGTAGTAGTATTTCTATTTTATTTAATATTTAAAAGTTTATAATGAATTTAAACAAAACAAAGTACAAGAATTTAATACTAATTTTAATTTATTAATGAAAGTGAAAACAATACAATAAGCAATTTAATAACTGAAAATTTTAAAATCGATGACGTTTTGGAAATTAATGAATCTACCAACTTATCTTCTGAAGTTCAGGAAGATTATTCCATTAATGTAGAAATTTCAAGTAATACATATTGTATAGATACGAGTAGTCAAGTGTCTATGCTATCTGCAAAAATAATAGTTAATAATAAATATTTAGGATGGATAAAAGCACATAAATCACCGAATTTTACTTGGAGTGATAGTGAAATTGAGTTATTTCAACAAATATCAAATCAAATAAACATAACAATTAATAATGTAAAATTGTCAAGACAAAAGACGATAAAAGAAGCGCGTATAGAAACTATTCGTACAGCAAATAATATCAAAACTCAAATATTAGCTAATACTTCACATGGTATGAAATTTAAAATATTATTTCAACATACGTATTATTTTATTTCCTTTCTTATACTTTCAATTTTTATTAGAATTACGAACTCCACTTGGTGCTATAGTAGGAATTCTTTCTTCAATTAAGGACGATGAATTAAATGCTGAACAAAAAGACATGATTGATATCATGATATATTCTTCTGATACAGCATTATCTATGGTCAATAATATCCTTGATATAGCAAAATTAGAGGCACATAAAATTACCTTAGATAATAAGGCCTTTGATTTATTTGATTTATTAGAAGATACAATTGAAATTGTTGGAAAAAGTGCTGGGGATAAACAAATTGAATTAATCCTGAGTTATGATACGAATACATTACCAAAGTATATTAAAAGTGATCCTCAAAGGTACGTAATATGTTTTTTTTTTACCCTTGAAAAAAAAACATAAACATAAAGGAATATTGAATAAATAAATAATATAAAATTATTAATCTTTTATTCGCTTATTTTTTTATAGGTTAAAACAAATTATAATGAATCTGTTATCAAATTCGTAAGTATATTTTTTTTGGTTTCTAGAGTTTATGCAATTTTAATTATTTTAACCGTTATTTATAAATATTTAATTTAGTATTAAATTTACTAATGAAGGTGAAATATCAATGAAAATATTTATGAAATCGTGGGAAATTGAAATTGAAAATGATATTTTAGAAAATAAAAAAGATGATAAATTGGCTAAAAAAGCAAAATTATTGGTTGAAGTAAATGATACTGGTATTGGGTAAGTTAATTATGATAATTAAATTTCATAATAATAATAATAATATTATTATTATTAATATTATTATTAATAGTATTATTATTATTATTAGTATTTGTATTACAAATGCAGCAATTATTAATTTAATTCTAACATTACATACTTTTACAATAGAATTAATTCTGAATTTATGCAAAGCATTTGGGAAAGTTATTCAAGAATCGATACATCAATAATTAGACAACATAATGGTACAGGCCTTGGTTTATCAATAAGTAAACAACTGGTAGAAATAAATGGTGGTGAAATTGGAGTAAAAAGCCAATTAGGAAAAGGGAGTAAATTTTGGTTTACATGGAATATTGAATCATTATCAATCCCGACTACATTAAATTATAATGTCAATTCATCACAAATTTCATTATCTGATGAAATGATTAAATATGTCTTACCAGCTCATATTAGATTAAAAAGAATATTATTAATTCTTCCATTTGAAAGTTTAAGAATTGCAATAACAAATTTTCTTAAAGATTTTGAAAAGGTTGGAGTATTTGATACTTTTGAAAAAGGAATTCAGGCAGCAAAATATCATAAAGAATTGTATGACCAAAATGCTTATGATATAGCGTTCATAAATCTTTATGAAAAGAATTCAGAACAAATTACAAAGGCTGCATCCGAATTAAGAAAAATACATGGCGATAACCTATTAATTGTCTTTATGATATTTTCAAGTAGAAGTGGAAAAGCTTTAGTAAAAAAATTAATTGATACTATTGGAGGACAAGCTACTACAATTTTTAAACCAATTACATATAAAAAATTAATAAATCAATGTTTACGTATCAATAATAATTTAGAAAAAGATATTGATGATTCTATTAGTTATAATATTAAAAATTTTATCAACAATAATTCAGAGAAATTTAAATTCGATTTTGAATCATCTTTAAAGTTTAATCTTACATCGTCAGTGACATCACCATTAAATATTACTAAAAAAAGAATGGCAAGTCGTGAAATTGGAGATACAGATTTGATAAGAATTACAAAGAGTAGATTACGAACAATCTCAAATAAAAAATGTATATTATGTGTGGTATGCTTGTTTTATTATTCTCATCATTTACACTAAAATGCTAAATACTAAAAAATGCATATATTTTAGGATGACAATCCTACGGATCTCAAGGCAAATTAATTTTAAATAAAATTTAAATATAGAATAGAACTGTTATAAACTTATTTTAAAAAATTTTAAATATATTTTATTTTTTTAGATTACACAGAAAAAGCTTGAAAAACTAGGTTATTCAACATTATTGGCAACAACTGGTCAAGAAGCAATCGATCTTCTTCAATCAAAATTTGAATCACTTAATATAAATAATTCAGGTTCTTCAGTTTTGGAAGAAGATAAAATAAAGTCTTTTGACATTTCCTTAGTTTTAATGGATTGTATAATGGTATGTTTTATTTATTGATACTTTTATATCTTGAATTTATAACATAATTTACAGTATTTATTTTTAATTCATCTTTAATAAAATTTATCTCAATTTAACTTATCATATATTAGCCTAAGATGTCAGGTTTTGATACTTCACGAGCAATTAGATCAATGAATTCACAAATTTCAAATATTCCAATAGTTGCTTTAACGGCTTCAGAAGAAGAAGAAACTTATAGTAAATGCATAGAATCAGGAATGAATCATTGTCTTGCAAAACCATTGAAAACTGATCAATTTAATGATATTATATCTCAATATGGTGTAAATAATATAATGCAATGATTATTTTCGGTTGAAGAAAATTATAATTATGCCATAATTATATTTATAACATCTATATTAATGTTTCTATTTTTTTGAGTTAGAGTTTTAGGTTAGGGTAAATAGATAGTTTAATGATATGAAGTCATATAACGTAGTGTTGTAAATATAAGTTTCCTTAATTATATTATATTCCGTATATTTTATGATGTTTTTAAAAACTTCAAAAATCCAAGAATTTAAGTTTTTTTTCTAATTATAAGTAGTATATATTCTTATATTTTAATTCAATTTTTTCAATTAGCTAAAGTAAAAAGAAATAAAATGAAGATTTATAACAGTATGATCTATGAAATACTATGATTTTATTATATAAGATATGATTAAAAATGTAAAATAGAACAATTATATAGTTAAAAACTTACAACACCGTCACCATAAACCAGGTCTTGCAGAATTAAATCTGCCGGACGAAAATAGTACCATCATAAACGTTAACATCACTCTTTTCAGTGCTAAATGTCGCTGTAACATTTAATTACTAAGTTCACGTAATAATGTAATTGCATATTATTCTCGCTCGGATCAATTTATTGAATTAATAAAAACACACAATGGGAGTTGTGCTGTGTTGCGGCTCTTTTACAACCCAAATACGATAAAAAATTTCGGGAGCCTATGCGCATTCAGCACATATAGTGCACATAAGATGATAGATGAAAATCTTCTCCATTTTAGTCAATTAGGTAGCTACGCAATGCAGTTGCGCCAAAACCAGGAACGGTGTGAACGGTAAAGGTCGTCAGGTCGGTAGCTCCAAAATCGGCTACGTCGTATAACCACTTGAGTTAATATCAGTCGAAAGAGGCGTGTTAGATTTGGCGAGTGGTTAACGGTGTTTAAATCAGATTCTCTTAACGAAAGGGAGGTTTCGGGTTGGTTATTAGGTAAGTATATTGATGGAAGTTAGTGTTTACAGGTTAGGGACAGATTATGTATTAGCAAATGCATTATTTTATTTGTCAAGGGCGGGAATTTTTCCTTTCCCAAAGGGCCTTTCGGCCTTTATTTATAATTGTAGAATTCTATTTACATTGTGCGATGGATACGACTGATATCTTTGATGCTACTGATCATTCGTATCCTACTGATATTTCCCTTCTGACCGATCGCTGCTATCTGTCGCATTCGTCACATGCATCACATGCGACTGATAGGTCGCATGCGACGGATGCGACGGATGTGACTGATGCGACTGATGCGATCAACTCCTTCCCTAATTTAGCGATGGACCCTGACCGGCCAGGGTCCATTCAGGTTCCACATTTCTCTCCGACTTAAGGTCAAGTTCCACGAGACAAGGTCAAACCACCGGGATCGAAGATGCATGGTCCATACATTGGTAAGTATCGAAGGGCCTTACATTTATCCTTTTCAACTTCAATTCCATTTTTATCCTCTTCAATATTTACTATTTTACGGCAATTACGGTTAGGTGTTTCAGACTTTTCGTTCTTGTTAGTTCCTTCAGCCATAGGTTCTATATCGGTAAGCATTTGCTCATTATTCAATCCAGCTGGGTCTTCCTTTTTCGAATACCATCTAAGTGCTTTAGGATCATCCTTTTCAACTTCAATTCCAATGTTCGGCGCCTCTTCTTTGGCATTGGCAGGGTCTTTTCAGTTATCTAGGATCAACAATCCATACGAATTTCCCTCTTCAGCCTTTTCCAAATACCATTCAAGTTCTTTAGGATCGTCTTTTTCAACTTCAATTCCAATGTTCAGTGTCTCTTCTTTGGCATCAACAGATTCCTTTATAAGGTCATCTTGGATTAATCTCCTAAACTCATCGAGCTTTCTATTCCAATCTTCATAGGATTGATCCAGGTTTTTCAATGCGAAACATCACATATCAGGGTCCTTGTGTTCAGCCTTTTCAACTTCAATTCCATCCATTTCCATCTTGGTTTCATTGTTGTTGTCATTATCATCATCATCATTGTTATCATCATCATCATTGTTATCATTTTTAGCATTTTCAAGTCTTTTCTCTTTTTCAACATCATTTTCTGTGAGGGTTCTAGGGTAACCTCTTCTGAATTCCATTTCTGTATGAGCACTTCATATTTAGCAGCTAATTGTCAAAGGAGATATTCCAAGTCAAGAGGTTTTTTTGCAGATTCATCAAGGTTGTCATAGGCATCATGTACTATAGGTGTCAGTTGTTGAAACTTTGAGTAGACTTTCGGTATAAAAACTACAGAAGATACTGAAGGTGAAAATATAAAGGGTTTCTTCTAGGTTTTGTAAAATGACATTTATAGGATGCAGAGTGAAAATGACTGCAAGGAATGAGATTGACTGGTATGTATGGAGGTAGGTATACAATATCTTTTTTCTCCTTCTTGACATCCTTAAGTGTATTTTCTAACACTTCTAGTAGAAATTCAAGAGCTTGTGGAAGTTGCTCATCATTAAGGTGATGATCTCCAAAGGCTTCATTGATGATTTCTTGAACTTTGGTGACTTGTTCTTCAGTAAGTGTGTTGAAAAGGACAGTACACTTTTCTTGCAGTATTTTAACTTTTGAGCATTTACTAACTGCATGTTTCTTTATTTTGCAATAGAGGCACCATGTTTCTTTTCAGAAGCTTCTTCAGATTCATTCACAGCTTAAGGCTTGTTGAAGATAGGTTTTTTCTGTCTTGGTTTCAGTTTTCTCAGGTCTCCAAGATGTTGGGTAAGTTCTATAAATTTCTTTCTTTGCTTTCTTTACTTTAGTTCTCTCTTCTAACTTCTCTTTCTTTTTTTTGTAGATTGATCTAAAATTCCGATATATTGATTGGAGTTTTAAGTGGCCTTCAATTTGAGCGGTAAGTCTTTCATTCATCTGTTCTAGTTGTTGATATAGTTCTTCCATATCATCAACATTTCTAACCTTAATTTCTTTCTATCTCCTTAATTACTACTTTACTTCAGGTAATTTAACTAATCATATAACCACAACTATCACACTTCCTCAGATAATTGAGCATGAGTCACCATGGCTGATCATTGTACTTTAAGATACCACAGCCAAATAGGGTAACAAAAATTTTAATTAGAAACATTTCAGATCTCACAGACACCACCAAATTATAAACAGTAAAGGTCGTCAGGTCGGTAGCTTCAAAATTGGCTATGTCATATAACCACTTGAGTTAATATCAGTTGAAAGAGGCATGTTAGATTTGGTGAGTGGTTAACAGTGTTTAAATTGGATTCTCTTAACGAAAGGGAGGTTTCAAGTTGGTTATTAGGTAAATATATTGATGGAAGTTAGTGTTTACAGGTTAGGAACAGATTATGTATTAGCAAATGCATTATTTTATTTGTCAAGAGCAGGAATTTTTCCTTTCCCAAAGAGCCTTTCGGCCTTTATTTATAATTGTAGAATTCTATTTACATTGTGTGATGGATACGACTGATATTTTTGATGCTACTAATCAATCGTATCCTACTGATATTTCCCTTCTGACTGATCACTGCTATCTGTCACATTCGTCACATGCATTACATGCGACTGATAGGTTGCATGCGATGGATGCGATAGATGTGACCGATGCGACTGATGCAATCAACTCCTTCCCTAATTTAGCAATGGACCCTGACTGGCCAGGGTCCATTCAAGTTCCACAACAGGAAGCTTTACTTGGGTTAATAAATATAATAATTATAATATATATCAATAAAATAATAAAAAAGGAAATTTTA